CTGACTGGCGACATGCATGTAGCACCGGGTCTCGAATGTCGCCACCGGTTACTCTCATAACTAACAAATATATTTTTGTTGAAAACCATTTTCCGGTATTCAGACCAATTTTCTTCGTAAGGCAAAGAAAATGTTGTCCCTGTGCTTAATCGCTTAAGTGCTGCGCCATGAAGACATAAGGGGGAATGGAGGTATAGCTCCACCTTTCTTGACCTCGGCACTAGACGGAGGTGGGTGGTCAGCTTGAGGTACCTACTGTTGAGGCTGTGTGGGCCCCAGAACCGGTCTGGAAGATGTGAAGAAGAGAAAAGTCATGCATTGCCGACTCCTTAATTTCCTCAGTATCCTGCATTTTCACTGACTATTTTCAGTTTGGTGTTGCGGGTCTGAGGTTACCCGGCTGCAAACTTCCGCTTTCACTTCTTCTAAAAAAAAAGTACTGTCACAAACTGGCGGGCGGAAATCTTCGGTTAGCTGTGGAAAAAAGGTCCAGTAAGCATACTGCCATCAGCAAGCTGCTGCAAAGTGGGTAATCTGACTGTCCTCACGCTTTGCTCTAAACTGCAAATTACTAACAAACTTGTCGGATTCTACATTCTACGAGCGGTGGTAAGAAACAGCGCGGCCTTGTGGGCCGAGCAGTCTGGATGCAGACTGACGCTTCGGAGAAACATACGGCATCCATCTTCAGGATCGAAGAGTAAACGAAGTAAACTCAGCCGCCTGATTCTGTTCCCTTTTTACCTGGCTTACTCTTCGACTCCTATTAACGATTTTCTTTACAGGATTTTACGTTAAGGTCATGTAGCCACTGAACATATTGCTAACATTTAAATGCGGTCACCACAAACTTTTGCCTGAGAACCGCGGAAATGCTGTTATGAGATTCTTATTTGCAAGATATATAATTTATTTTATCTATTTGAAACCAACGACAGGCTGTTGAGAGTATCTGGACCGAAGAGGGATGAAGTGACAGAAGGTTGGAGAAAACTGCACAATGAGGAGCTTCATAACTTGTACTCTTCTCCAAGTATAATTAGAATGATCAAGTCAAGGAGGATGAGGTGGGCAGGCATGTAGCACGAATGGGGGAGAAAAGGAATGCATATAAGATATTGGTGGGAAAGCGAGAAGGAAAGAGACCACTAGGAAGACCAGTGGACAATATTAAACTGGATCTTATAGTGATAGGATGAGATGGGATGGACTGGACTGATCTGGCTGAGGATAGGGACCAGTGGAGGGTTCTTGTGAACACGATAATGAACCTTCGGGTTCCATAAAATGCTGGGAAGTTCTTGAGTAGCTGCACAACTGGCGGCTTCTCAAGAATGGTTCAGCTCCATGAGTGGGTGATTTGAAACCAATGCTGGTTCTCAGTCACTGAGGGACACATATGGGTACATACGTTAAGAGCTATGAGACATGAACCTTATCTGGGCCGATGGCACCCGGTTCTAAAGACGTAATTACAATTTGACATTATTTCATCTGATAGGTTACATACAAAACCTTCCATCAGCGTTTCCTTACTTGTCTGTGCCAAACGAAATACCTTAATATTGTCACGAATTATGTGACTATAGACGGGGTATGGACTGGCGGATGGATTTACTGACCACTTACACACCACTCGGAACTAAAATTACGGCGCTGTCTCTAATTTTCGCACTTCACAAATCACCACAGCACCCGCTAAGCCTTTTTTTTTAGCCTGCTGTCATCAGCCGTTCCTTGAAAAGGGCTTCTAACAATGACAATTCTTCAGCTTCGCGCCCTCAGGTTCTATCCCCACAACCTCCCGTGAAGAATTCAACTCTCAACTAACCGACAACTAACTCCCAGTCTGGCGGCCATTTCACACCACCCTCCTAGCCTCCCTTCACAGGCTGACTTTCAGCCAACTGGATCACCCCAACTGTCCTTCAAAATTACTCCTTGGTACGGGTCAAGCCCCGTCTGTCACCTTTGTTAAGCATGCTATCGTCATAACGGTGTCTTTAAAGCTATCCATGTAACATGACGTGGAGGTCCATAGGGTTGCGAGAGGTCGAGGCTCCCACATTATCTAGCCAATCGGCTCACGAATGGCGGTTGTGTTGTCAGCCTTACGCACCAGCCGCCCTTTACCTTCCACGAAGATTCCTGGTAGTCATTCCTGTTAGAGGCTGAGTCGACCCCAGGTTCATAGTGCGGCAGGAAGGATTAGGTCAATTTAAAAGTCCAGTCACCTCATCGGGAATTGAACCCGCGACCTTCCGGCTCGTAGCACAGTGCCTCAACCAGCCACGCTACAGCGTACAGACTGCAATGGGTTCAACAGGAGCTGTGTTACACTGCTCCACATTTGATACAACGGACGATCAGCCATCCATTGGTGCTTAAACGAAGCACTGACAAACGACGGCTGCTGCCGATGATAACACCCCAAATCGCCTCACAAGCTCCATGGACTGAGGCCTACCACACGCAAACCTGTGCAAGCTACAGCAGACCCCCTGGTTTCTGCGGCGGAAGTTTCGGGAAGAAGAGGCGTAGAACGTCGAAGGATTTCCGATGTTTCGTTAAACGCTGCAGCTGCCATCTTCGGAGTTTCTTTTTTTAATGCTAGTGGGCTGGGACTAAGTCTCTTGTACTGTGGCCACTTCTGGCCTATTGTACCAGCCCCAGATGATAGGTGAGGGTGATTGTGGAGCAATTGGTGGAATGGAGATTGGCAGGGGAAACCGAAGTACTCGGAGAAAACCTGCCCCAGCGCCACTTTGTCCACTACATATCCCACCTTACCCAGACCCGGGATCGAACCCGGGCCGTCGCGGTGGGAAGCCAGATCTTGGGAGTTAATATCTACAGAGGGAGTCGAAGCCCTTATACACATTTGGCAGACATCTACACTCTTCATATCACTGCGGGCGGGGGGCTGGAAGCCCGTATACAGATCTGAGAGCCCGTTTCTGGGTTAATATCTTGGGGGAAGACTGGAAGCCTGTATAATAGACATAGCAGCCACCTTTAGAATTAACGTCTTGGAGGTGAGGGACAGGACTTGAAGCCTTATACATCCGGCAGCCATCTTTAGGATTAATGTACTGGAGTGGGGGCTTGGAAGTCCATTTATAGATCTGTCACATATTAACCCTGAAGATGGCAACTGAAATGTTTGCCGAAACGTTGGAAACCATTCTGCGCGGCCTGTTACCGATAGCCGATGATATGACTACAGTACTTCTCTCGGCGACAAGCTGTATATGAACACTTCAGCTGTCTCGGCCTGCTGTTCAAGTGTGATGACAAAGCACCTTGGCTACGACCGGCGAGGCAATAATCCGTTGTTTTATTGCTGACTGCTCAATGCACCACATAATAACCGTCAGGTCTAAGAACAAGGCAGTAGGCAGAAAGATGTGCGGGAAGCTGAAAGGCGAAACGTAAAAGGTAAAGCTATCCCTGTTAAAAGGTCGTCGAGGCGCCCACATTTTCTAGAAAATCGGCTCACAGACGGCGGTGACGTCAGCCTTACGCATCTCAGCCCTTTAACCCCAGGGAGATTCTTGGTACTCATTTCTGTCAGAGGCTGAGTCGTCCCCAGAGCCATAAGTGCTCCCGAAGCATTAAGCCAACTGAAAAATTCAGTGACATCGTGAATCGAACCCGTAACCTTCCGGCTTGTAGCATAGTGCCTCAACCAACTATCCTACCGCGTGCCCCCGAAAGGCGCAGAGACGGAGACTAAAGGCAAATTACAGAGAATGCGCATCTGACGTAAAGGTCAATATTATTAAGAGACCACTATAGCCGAGTGGTAACTAAGTAAGCAGGTGATTTCCAAGTCCTTCATTACATTTGCTGGCAAATAAAACCGTTCTGCACGATTGGTATGTGCCAGGTAGAAGGTAAAGTTCTCCCTGTGCTCAAATTAATTAAGCAATATGTCATGTAGACGTATCGGGGAGTGGATGCATACATCCAAGTATTTTTTACCTTGGCACTAGATGAAGTAATCACCTCAACGCTCCGGCCGCTTTACTCCTGGGAAAATAATCCCCGGTACCCACTGGATAGGAGACCGGATGGGCCCCAGAATCAGTATGGACGACGTGGAGAGGAGAAAAATCTTGCCCCCACCGGCGCTCGAACTCAAACCCCTCGGCCATCCGGTCCGTAGCCCGTCGCTGCGTTATCCCGGTTCAGGAATGTTATATCCACTGTTCTCAAAACATAACAACACTGCAATATGCCAAGCAGGCTGGCACAGCGGTAACGCTCTAGATTTTTATTAGGGAGGAGCTCGGTTCAAATCTCTGGCGGCACTGCAGCTATCCTGAGGTGTTTCGTGGTTTTCCTCGGTCCCTTGAAACAGACACCACGATAGTACCTCCACTAAACCACTATCACTTCCTTCAAATCCTTACCAATCTATCATTCATACTACAGGGTGATTCTAGATTACTGTCGGGGTTTCGGTGGACTATAAAAGAAAACGACAATAATTTAGAATCACCCTGTATAATTTGGCGCTACAGCGTAAATACTCACAGCGACGAAAAAAAAAAAAGCGGAAACTGCAATATCCGAGGCCGGATTATACTCCCTGCTATTACACTATTTATTTTGCACAAGTCGTATTCACTCCATGCAGCATTTTTCGGAAGCGAAATGAGAAACTGACGAGTTCCATCTTCTGGGATATAATGGCGAGTCAGCTGACGCTTCGGAGGAAGGAATCACCTCCATGTTCACTGTCGAAGAGTAAGCCAAGCAAGAGACCAGAATGCATCAAGCAGAGCAAAGCAAACCACGTGCCGGCTCACTCCTCAACCCTGAACACGAAAGCGATACTTTCCTCCGAAATGTCGTCTGACTTTCGCCGGACGACAGCGCTACAACAACTCAGAAGATACACGTATAACTCTTAATATAACTTCCGCTATCAGTATGAAGGTAGGTTGTGTAAGCCTGCAGACATGTGTGACGGCAGTCAGTGCGTGGGAACCAACCTTTGTTAGACGTGGCAGGGCGCGATGAGCTGTGGGGGGGTGGACCCGAACGCTGGTTGTCCTCCACAGGAGCGGCTCCAGCTGCAAACAGGAGACAAAGATATCTTAGCAGAAGTCATACAGCCTACTTCATCAATTCATATTTATCTAATAAATATAAAGTTATCTCTGTGACAGACCGTGAAGACCCATAGGGTTGTGAGACGTCGAGGCTCCCATATTTTCTAGACAATCGGCTCACAGATGGCGGTGAGGTTGTCAGCCTTACGCACCGGCCGCTCTTTACACCCCCAGGAAGATTACTGGTACTCATTTCTGTTAAGAGTCTGAGTCGACCCCAGGGCCATAGTGTTGCTGGAAGGATTAGGTCAACTGAAAAAATTTAATGACCTCATCGGGAATCGAACACGTGTCTTTCAGGCTTGTAGCATAGTGCCTCAACCAAATACGCTACCGCGTGCCCCCGATAAACTGGTTCAACACTTAAAATGGGAACACAGAGAGCACATAACCCCGCATTTTCTCCTCAGGAAGGACCAACAGAATCAATCCAGGCGAGGAAAACACACTCTATTGCAGGAAATCTTACTACGTTTTCGCCGGCTGTAAATGCAAAGCAGCTGAGCCCCTGGTATCGACGAGCTAGATATTCCCGTTTAAAGTCGATACCTTTGACATTTTCGACTGTACCGCTTCCTAACTATCGTAGAAAGCAGGCGAGAATGAACCAGTGGCTTAGAACATTTCATTAGCTCTGTACGGAAGCCAATGGAATCGTTCTGCTGGCAGCAATAAGCACAAAAACGACTTTATCGACCTGTACATACGTCAGCAAGATCTGTGCAACATCTCACTTCACATTTGTGCATACCCAAACCACGTGTTGCCACGAAGGCGCTGCATCTTTCCTCCCCTCCCACCCCTCTCCAAAACAACTGTCGCTGGATAAAATAGAGATACAGGAAAATCACATTTTTTTCGTAGCGTAGCTGATTGAGGCACTATGCTACAGCTAGAATGTCGAGGGCTCGATTCCCGATGAGGTCACTGGATTTTCAATTGACCTAATCTTTCCAGCCGCACTATGGCCCTGGGGTCGACTCAGCCTCTAACAGAAATGAGTACCAGGAATCTTCCTGGGTGTAAAGGGCAGCCGGTGCGTAAGGCTGACCTCGCTGCCATCTGTGGGCCGATTGTTTAGAAAATATAAGAGCCTTGACGTCTCACAACCCTATGGGTCTCCACGGCCTGTTACAGGGATAGCTTTGTCTTGTTTATGTTTTATTCCAAGTTCCTTCAGTTAGATATAAGAGAGGTGCACAGTTTAGGCTGAAGCAAAATATAGCAACAGTTTCTGCCTAAAACACAACGGAGGGTGTGCCATGACTAGGAAGTGACGCAGGTCGTTACGTCAATATGACAAGTTGCCACATCCTAATTTCAGTGGGATGGGAACCAATATCGCCATATCTCACAAAGAGATTTTTCTTCCGTGTAGCGTAGTTGTTTGAGGCACTATGCTACAAGCCGGAAGGTCGCGGATTCAAGTCGATGAGGTTACTGGATTTTTCAATTGGCCTAATCCTTCCGGCCGCACTATGGCCCCGGGTTAGACTCAGTTTCTAACAGAAATGACTACCAGGAATATTCTTGGGGGTAAAGGGGGGCCGGCGGGTAGGTCTGACAACCTTGCCGCAGTCTATGAGCCGATTGTCTAGAAAATGTGGGAACCTCCACATCTCACAACCCTATGGGTCTCCAAGGCCTGTTACAGGGATAGCTTTACTTTTTTTAATTTTTAGGTAGCCTACTCCAAGTATAAAGTATCAAAGATGTTTCAGACAAAGGATAACTAAACTATATAAGATGCTGTTGTCCCTGTACTTAACACATTAAGCACTACACCATGACGACGCATGGGGAGTACATGTATAGATGCACTTATTGTTGACACCAACACTACTTGGAGGTATGTGGTCAGCTTCACGCCCCTGCAGCTTTACCTCCGGGGAAGGAGCCCCGGTACCCACTGGACAGGAGGCTGGGTGGACACCAGAGCTTGTCTTAACGCTGAGAAGTAGAGAAAAATCTCGTACCACTGCCGGGAACTGAACCCCGGCCACCCAGTCCTAGCCCGTCAATATACTGACTGAGCTATCCCGGCTCCACACACGTGGACATGATTGGCGATTGCACCTGCAGTTATCGTAGCGATGTCTATCAGGGATGCGGGTTTTTGGGTTGTAACGTCTGCTTCTGCTTGTTTCCTGCTTACACTCCGACCCTGAAGACAGAAGCTATATGTTCCTCCGAAGTGTCAGGTTTTATCCGAACTATATGGCGCTATAACAGAGAAGACCGGACTCTTTGGCGATGTTCAAAACCCACAAAAAGGATCAATACCCGCACCAGACAAAAACACATGAATGGAGCCCATCGGACAGAAATGATTACATATGTACAGGGTAGCCCAAAAGTGAGTTAGGCGGTTTGTAAAATGTACACTAGGGCCGCGCCATAGCTCAAGCGGTTAGTCGCTGGCTTCCCACCGCGGCGGCCCGAGTTCGATCCCGGGTCTGGTCAAGTGGGATTTGTGGTGGACAAAGTGGCGCTGGGGCAGGTTTTCTCCGAGTACTTCGGTTTCCCCTGCCAATCTTCATTCCACCAACTGCTCCACAATCACTCTCACCTATCATCTGGGGCTGGTACAATAGGCCAGAAGCGGCCGCGGTACAAGGGACTTAGTCCCACCCCACTAGCAATAAAAAAGTACACTAAAATGCACCATGAATGTATTACTTAATGAATTTACAAAAAAAATCGAAATAAGATTCTTCATCTTCAGAGTGCAACTCAGAACGATGTGATACGGTTCTACAAATTGAATAACAGCTTTAAATCTGAAAACTCCTCCTAATACGAGAGGGCATTTTAAGTTAACTCACTTTTGGGCCACCTTATACGTGTAGGTATGTAAAGTTGTCCCTATGCTTAACTAATTAAGCACTACGCCATGAAGATGTATGGGGGAGTGGATGTATAGATCCACATTTCATTGACCTAGGCACTAGCTGGAGGTGAGTGGTCAGCTTGAAGCCCCGGCCGGTTTACACCCGGGGAAAGAGCCCCCGGGTACACATTGGATAGGAGGTTGTGTGGATCCCAGAACCGGTTTGGACTTGGAGTAGAGAAAATTCTTGACCCTACTGGGACTCGAAATCCGACCCCTCGGTCGTCCAGCTCATAGCCAGTCGCTATACCGGCTTTTTTATATATATATATAATTACGTGTACGTAATTTTTAAAAGAATGCCCTACGCGCGGAGAGCACGAGACCGAATATGCTTCACTAATATAATACTGTAATGCTGAATTATGTAATTTCCGTCCTTTATTCGACACAACATATGGAGCAGTGGAGCGCATCTGCAGGAACTCAATTTGAGCGAGGGTTCACAAAATCCCCGGGATCATGCACCACGCTGGAACAGTTTGGACGGGGTAAGCCTACTGGCATAACCGAGCGCAAACCACGATTAACCATTCTGAAAAGACGAACACACATGGAAATGACCCACGCATGTGGTAATGCTGCGTGCTCGCGTTTACAGACTGCCCAAGTTCGTAACATACGAGATCTGAGACTCTGCGGGATGAAAAGCCGTAAGTTTGGTACACAGGAACCTGCTGCCTCCAACACTGGCAACTATCTACCACACTACACGGCATCTCATCTCAGAAAATCATAATCTTAAAGGCTCCAAACCCGTGTCATCAAGGGACGTGAACGGAAGCGGCCGTGGTTGATTTTAAAAAATCACAATATTTGGTGTCCCGACCAAGATTCGAACCCGGCACCTCTCGAAAACAAGTCATAAACGTTATCATTTGGGTCAACCTATCTACGAGTATCTATCTATCTATGGTTCTACAGCCCTCTGTTGGGCCTTGGTCACTTTTCAGTTTCTTAATTCTATAAACATTCGGTAGGACTCCTCAGACACGAGATCAGCCAGCCGTATGGCCACTATCTACACACAGAAGAACACAAACACAGAACGCACACACAGATATCTATGTATCGGGTGAGATTCGAACCCACGATCCCAGCGTTCTAGAGGGCGAAGACAGTTCATGCCTTAGACAGCATGGCCACTGTCATCGACAAATTAGCAGCCTGTCATCTTCAAAATTAACGAATTAGTTCAATCGCTACTTTGTACGTGCTGTGAAATTTGCAGTCACATTTTCCTCAAGATATTTCTTGCGCAAATTTTCTACCATTTCTTCCTTAGTTTCTGCCACTAACTTCAGCTTTACGACAAGAACTTTCCTTATGTTCAAATATTTTCTTTCGTAACGGCCTCAAGTTGCTCTCATGTTCACCATAAGCAATAATTTATTAACCATTAACTTTCCTTTCCTTAAGTTGGAAATTCATTGTAGTCAACGTCACAACTCCAGCATACAAATCTATACAACTGGAAAATAAGCACACAAAACACATATTAACCCAGCGCGTGCTGTTATATTTCTGCTAGGCGCCCTTCCTCGAATCTCATTTGTCATTACGTGACTGCACCAGCCACCACTGTATACCGATGAACTGAATAGCGGATGTTTCTGACTTGACTTATGCATGTGGTTCCTTTATCCACTGTCGCGTCGATACACACAACCGGGAGATAAATTCGTTTGTATACGCCACTACACGAACTGTACTGACTTGTTTATGCTACAAGGCCGATCACACGACAGCGAACTTGGTTGAGACACGCGGGATAGAGATGAGATGGATTTTTTCAATTTACCTAATCCTTCCAGCCGCACTATGATCCTGGGGTCAACTCAGCCTCAGATAAAAATGAGTACCAGGAATATTCCTGGGGGTAAAGGGCGGCCGGCGCGTAAGGCTGACAACCTCACTGCCATCTATGAGCCGCTTGTCTAGAAAATGTGGGAGCCTCACATCTCACAACCCTATGGGCCTCCACGGCCAGTTACAGGGATACCTTTGCCTTTTTATATAAGACCGATCACAGTGGCCGTGCGGCCTAAGGCAAGAACTGTCTTCTCTCGCT